GAAAATTATTGCACAATAAGGAAAAAATGGTTTCAGGGGGAAGGGGAATTCTATACTTCTTGCTCTACTGTGACACAAAACAACCATTTTTTAAAAAACATGCTGATTCTGCAGAAGTGCCAAGTATCATGACTAATCACATCAGCAGGGATTTAAAAGCAGAAATAAAAATTTTAGCTTCAGAGTACTGATCGAATTCAATTTATATTTGATAATTTAATTTTCTTACATGATGATTTAAAAACTGCAGCATTAAAACAAATAATAATGTCAAATCTTTTTGTGCGCTGTTATAGTTTACACTATTCAAGGTACTTTAGTTGGTAATCAGTTTCATTCTATTACATTCTGAACAAAATTTAGTGCACTGGCTTTGACCAGGATAACATACAGGGGTTGGACAAAAATATGGAAACACCTTTAAAAAAACATGTTTCTTTGCTTAACATGTGTAGGAAACCCGTTGGCATCCAAAACAGCTTGCAGTCTTCTCAGAATGGATAAATACAGTTCCTGTATGTTTGCCAAGGGAGTATTATACATTCTTCCTGCAAAACAGTGGCAAGTTCAGATAACGATGTTGGCGGTGGACAATGAGAACACACTTTCCGTTCCAATGTAGACCACAAAGGTTCGATAATATTTCAGGTCTGGTGACTGTGGTGGCCAGAGGAGATGGGACAACTCATCCTCGTGCTCAGTAAACCAGTCCTGGACAATGTGAGCTGTGTGAACAGGGGCTTTGTCGTCTTGGAAGACACAATCACCATCGGGGAACAAAGTTTGTACCATGGGATGAACTTGATCGGCCAAAATGTTCACATAAGTCTTGGCAGCCATGTGCCCTGACACAGTTATCATGCGGCTAGCAGAGAACCACGATATGGCTGCCCAAACTATAACAGAATCCCCACCATGTTTCACTCTTGGCAACAAGCAGTCTGTATTATAGGCTTGAGATGGCGTTCTCCAGACGTAAACTCGGCCAGAAGTGGGAAACAATGTGAAAGAAGACTCGTCGACAGATTACCATTACTTACTTTACTTACTCGCTTCCACTGCTCTATAGTCCAGGCTTTATGACTTAAACACCACCTTTTCCTGTTACGGGCATTAGCATCACTGATGAGTGGCTTCTCAATTGCAGCACGGCCAGCAATTCCCCTGTTTATGAAGCTCCCTTCTAATTGTTTTGGTACTCACAGGGTTCAGTAGTACACAACATTCATTTCAGCAGTAACTTTTGCAGCTGTGGTCTTCTTATTTTCATCACAATTGCCCTTAATGATCGTCTGTCACGATCACTCAGGACACACTTTCGTCCGCGCTGTGATTTAGCAGATGATGTTTTTCCGCTTTTCAAATATGCGGAATAAATCTTCGATACAGTACCTCTTGAAACACTAAACACCTCGGCTACCTTGCTTACGGAAGCACCTACCATACGTGCTCCAACAATTTGCCCACGTACGAAGTCTGTTAACTCTGACATAATGCAATGACAACCTCACATAACAGTACTCTGACAACAACTGAACTGTTTAGCACATTTACGAAGTTGTATAGGTGGCGTCAGTAGTAAAAAATACCAGTGCCACATACATATTTCATTAAAATCAATCTTTCTTTTCAAACATGCATTTCACAAGGTGTTTCCATATTTTTGTCCATCCACCGTATTACTGTATATACCCGCACATAAGTCGAGATATTTTGGACAAAAAAGAGACTTTAAAGTGTGTGTGGGGGGGGGTCGACTTATACGCGGGGCCATAAAAAATTAAAAGAATCGGAAGTTCAAAAATATCTTTATATAATGCAGTTGTTTTCTTCCCGCACTCAAATTGGACGACTTATCAAATAAGTCACTTACTTGAAGTAATTTCATGACTTAAATTATCTGACGAACTAATCACAGAGTTTCATACCTTAACTAGAGTATTTCGATTAAACCAAAGAATTTTCGGCCCCTGAAGAACCAATCAATATCGAGCAATAAAAAAGTTACGCCAAGAAAAGAGAAATGCAGATAGTTTTTACGTACATAGTTTTAACGCAGATAGTTTTTATGTACGTATAAGTCTTTATAATAGTTATTGTTCATTCATGAAATACTTTTGTTAACAGGCGTACACGTCAAAATTTACAACATTTACAAAGGGAGGCAACATTAAAAAGCTCGATATTACATTAATTGGTCAGTGGCTTAAAGATGCTTGGAATGAAATACCCTCTGAAATGATTATAAAATCATTTAAAAAATGTTGTATTAGCAATGAACTAGACGGAACGGAAGATGATGCTGTTTTTGAAAGTGAAAATGGCGACGAAGGCTCTAGTAGTGATTGTAACAATACAGAGTTCGAGACTGAAAATATGTGTGATGACAAGCCAATGACGCAGAAGAATTGTGTGAAATGTTTGGCAAATCTGACCATGAATCGGACGTTGAAGGAGTTTGATTTTGTTTATTTACCAAGGTTTTTTTAATCGTATATTTACTTTTTTTCTCAGATGATTTTGAATAAATGTAGTACTTAAAAAATTGTTTTCGAAGTTTCTCGACCGATTTCGGAAGTGTGTGTGGTGGGGGGGGGGAGGGGGGTCGACTTATACGCGGGTTTCTTATTTTCTACGAATTTTTTATGTCGAATTGGGGGGGGGGGTCGACTTATACGCGAGTATATACGGTAAATTAAAAATAACAAAGCTGAAGATTACATTGTACAAAGAAAAATTTTAAAAAAATCTGCAATTCAAAAATTTCAGATTACAATCAAACACCTTTAAGGGTTTACCATTAAAATTTCAAAAAGTTTTTATGACAGACTGGACAGAAAACAAAACATGAAATTAAAAAGAAACTGCAATATGAGTTTAGAATGCAGACATTTCAAAACCTGAAACAATTTTAAGCTAAGCAGTCTCGACAGGCCTATCAGCTTAAGAATTATTCACCGAGAAATTAGAGATAGAATATAATCTTACAGCTAAATGTATAACATGAATTCAAGATAGTTTCCTTTAAAACGCCTTACGGAAGGAGTTCTCCCATTAGACAGGCAGCCCTCATGTTTTGTTTTATTCCAAATAGCCCATCTTACAATTAAAACAAGCTGTTAAAGTGGTAGGAAAAATTTTCTGTAATCTATTATTAATTTACACTAGGCAGAGAGTTGTGAACTTGTTCAAGATATAACTGTATTTTATAACTGTATCTATTTTGGTTGGATTGTTTGCACATGATGCTTGCAATGAATTTAAGTTGCAGTACTTTTTATTTTGTCAAGACAGCAAATGCGCTAATTGAAAATAATAGGCACTTCAAAAAGGCTTCCTGCAGAGTGTTTACTAACAGTAATGGAATTTTCCAAATTTGCCAGACAAAATTTCCAGACAATTTGCAGATTTTTGCACATTTTGATACGTAATTTATTAACCACAATTCCTTTCCAACATTTTTTAATTGAGAGTTATTTCACATGGAAATTTTGAGATACCAAATAAAAATTTCTTTATGATACACTGGCAAATTTGAATTTTACTGCAGTGGCATGAATTCTGCACAAGTAGTATTGTTGATAATGGCAGTATAAGTAACAGTTACCTGTTTAAGCATACAAGCTTTTATGAAAGACTGTCAGAGGAAAGCCAATTCATGTTTACATCATACATACGGAAAAGAAAGAAAATAGCCAAGCAATTAGCTCATTTGCCAGGATTTGAAGACTGATAAAACTATCGTTGTGCAGCAGACTTACCCACTCTATCGCTGGTGCGCTTACTTCTTGAAAATCATTTTCGAATCCACAATTACTGATTCACAGACTAGAAAAACACAAGTATGTCACTGCCAACTGAATGCAGGAGATTGCAAAGCTCTATATTGTAAATGAACTATTACTGTTATATAAAGAATTTTTTAGTAATATGAACGCTAAGATACAGTTTCTGGCATCTGGTCTAGTTTTCTTCCTGAATAATCTTGGTCCTCATCGCAAAAAATTACTGGAAGTGTTTCCGCCCAGATAGCTATGGAAAACAGGATTCAGGGACAATGACGTGCAAGACTGCAATGCACGTTGGCACTAAAGAGGGATATCAGATGAAAAACACAGGAGAAAATTGCAATTTTTAAAGTGAAGAATATCATAACTGTTTGTTAACATACATATTTTTTGTACACCTAATTGAGTTGTCACCAAAGGGACCTTGGGTATCAGGCAAAAATTATTTGATGACTGCAAACGTTTATGCTCGGTTTTTAGAAGTGAGAGAATACCAGGCACAAGCTGGCAACACCACAATATACTCATAAATAGGTATAAGCATGATGAGTCATTTTTGAGAAAAACTTCACTGACTGAAGTTCATTTGCATGTGATAGGTCTTTGTAAAAATGAAGAACGTAAAGTTACACTTGCATCATATTATTCTGCATTAATTTTGAAAAGTGAATGTTGGAATCACAAGAAAAAAACATTTGAGATGTGGATTTGGAATGTGGGTTCCAGAGATTCACCACAGATAATGGTTAAGTAGATTTCAACTTTATCTTTTATGATTTACCTAGCTGTGAACACCATTCTTGTATTTTTATGTGGAGTCCACAAAAAAGTACATCAATGCAAATAAAATTACAGAAATTTATGACCGTGACTATATCACACTTAAAAAAAAGAGTTAGGAGTTCCTTCAGCTATGATTTTTAGTGCTTTATTTTTAAATATAGACAAAATGCTTTCAATCATCTAATATTTACACGTTTGAAGAGGCTGAAATGTTCCATTAAAGTCATGCAATTTCTCTTTTCTGCCAGAGAAATACAATTTTGCCTCCCAATATATTTATACAATTCCTTAAAACTAAATCTTTTATGATTAAGTTGAGCAGCCGATGAAAATAATTCTGAACAAAAATACAATTATGAAGGCATAATTTTCAGTCAATGTTAAGACAAAAATATAAAGAGTTATTTTCAAAACAAAGATTACACTTACATCTCTAATATTAGCAAGGGTAGGAGCAGCAATAAAAACAACAAACGGTGCATATTCAGCAGTCCTAAGAATCTTTAAAGCCTAAAGATAAAAATAAAATTTATATATAATTAGAACTTAAAACTACTTCTATATGATTATATTTCACTGGCATTACCATGGACAGAGGGCAGTGAAATATAATTAAACAGAACATAAAATTTCAACAAACTGTTAAAAATGTAAAATATTTTATTCGCAACTTAATTTCTTACTTAAGTACATCAGATTCTATCTGTCTGTGATTCAGCCTCTCCCCACTGATTTGACGTGATAAGTCTCCCCCAAAATAATTATTTCAATTCTCAGTCATTTTCCTGTTATAATTAATTATTAAGGTATACTTTCTTAAACTGCCACTGGTTTTCATTTAAAACTATGCAATATAAAAGTCACAAATAACCTTTACAAAAATTACACTCTTTCAAAAATTCTTTGCAATGATTTTTTGCTGTTTTGTTTTCTTTGCTGTTTATCTAAAACATATATAATATAATACAGCTGACTCTTCCAGAACTTAATAAAATTTATGCTTGAATTCTGACCTCAACAAGAGCTCACTTCATGATACATATATTAAATAGCATTTTTTACTTAGTGATCACTAATTTACAGGGTCATAACAATAACGAAAGATTGCTAATGCTATGCTGATTCCTACTGTAAGCACTCTTCATTCAAGAGTTCTGGAAGTTTTGCTAAAACTGGCCAATCAGATAACACTGTTAAAGATGAGAAAAGTAAGCCGTTCATGTGAGAGAAAACAAATTTTGCTATAGAGTTTTGAGCATTTCTGAAATCATTTGATTTTTGTTTTTAAAACTTGATGCGTTAGTTATTTTTAGCTCCATACATCAAAATTAATAGTGAATTTTCTGACAGGATAGAATAGAATTTCAAAATAAAACAAGTGTTAGAATACAGTGTCACCTATTGTAAAAAGAAAGACTTATTTGGCCACTGGTTTCGACCAAGGAGACTAATACATTAGTACTGAATGAAGTAATTACCATAAAAAAGTTGTTAGTTCTCTTTCTATATAGCGTAGTAATTTAGTTCAGAATTATAGAAATACAGTACATTGGTCCTTAGGCAGGATAGAGAAAAAATGTGGACGCTGGCTAGAAATAAAACAGCACTAAATGTGAAACACATTTAATGCTGTTTAATGAAACACATTTAATGTTTTTAATCAGAAAATGTAGTTAAAGAATATAATGGTAATGCGAATAAAATGAAATTCAAAAAAATTATATTTGCTTCAAAGTATTCAAATGGACATCAGAAACTTAAGAAACAGATATTTCGAAAATATTGATGTAAAAGAAGATGTCACAGCCATCAATGAAGAAATCGTCGAAATGGAAGAAAGAACCAAAGTTGGCAAGATAAGAATAATGGAAATTCTATCACATGTTGTACATTTTGAACATGAGAGTGTGTGTAATAAATTTGATTTTAAGTACAAATATGTTTGCCAGAATTACAAGTTCCTAAATTTGCTGGTAAATATATCAAATGAAATAATTTTAAGTTGCAATTCAAAAACATTATTGTAAATAACCAGTTAACCCTTTCGCTGTCCTCTCCTGTTCACGAAAATTTCTCCCCAGTGGCCCTTTGTTTTTCGTAGAGTGTAATGCTGTTCTCTCTGTACATAGATAACTTTCACAGTGGATGAATGTAAATGAATATTAACACTCTGAGCGTTATGACTGGCTTTATCCGGTCATCAGAAGTTTTGCTACTTGGCATTACTTTAAGATATTCTGCTTTCTTACTTTCTTTAATAATGCAAATATCATCTTAATGAATGTAAGTTTGCGAAAATACAGACTAAAATAAGTAATTATGCAAATTCAATTAATAAATGCTGTTTAAATACCGGTTTTCATGACAGATCTAAAATCCTGTAATGCTCAGAGGGTTAAGTACAATTATAAGGAAATAAAGCATAATGGAAAAGTAATAATATCTGCTTATTTCTAACAGCAGGATTAATTTGATAACATCTGATCCAGGCAGTCCACTCCTCCCATTTTGTTGTTGTAATTTTTTACAATTATTGGTTATTTTACAATTCTTTTCTGTGTTTCAACATCAATCATAGAGTTATTATGGACTGTACTCATCAAACGTATATCCTTCTTGTCTTTCCAATCCACAACCTCATTTTTACTCTTTTTCTGTTGAGTAGACGTTGAAGATCTCTTACTGCCTTGTATCTTATGTAAAATGGCATGAATATTCATAAAACCTGGGGGAAATTCCATTAGAAATATAATGCTTGATTAGTACTGCCTTCTAAGAGGTATTACAACAACAACAAAAAAAAAAAAAAAAAAAAAAAAATAAAATAAAATAAATAAAATAAAAAAAAACTCAAACAAGTAAACATTTAGAAAGCGTTTTAAACATTTAAAAGTTTTAAAATGTAGAAGAACGCTTGAAGCACGTTACAGCCGCCCTGCAAAAGTTTCACTTGAACACGCTTGATGCGTTACGGACGACGAAGAGGTTAAGAGAAGTTTAGAAGTTGTATTATTTAACCATTTTGCAATGACGCACCTTTATTTAAGACACTCTTGCGGGACAGAAGAAGGAAGTCACCATACAGGATGGAGCTTTTGCATCGCTAAGCCTAATTTTATAAAAAAAAAAGTCAGAAAAAAAGTTTCATTTCTAGCATCGTAATTTTTGGTCTCATTTTAGATTATTACATTAGCTCTTATGTATGTTAAAATTAGCATTTAATAACCTTTTTTCTTTATTTTACATGAAAATATATTTAAAAAATTGCTTATCTTGTAAAATAATTTTTGGAAGCGTTATTTTAATTATTCTAAAGTTTTAATTGATAAAATCCATCAATAAAGTTTAAAATTAATAAAACAACACAATGAAGACTATTTACAGGAAGAAATAAAATTTTAAATGAAGACAATGTGGTAAATTTCAAAGCACAGAGAAGTATCACTTTCTCTTAGAAAAAGTATCACTTTCTAACTGTTTAGAAAACAAATCATCACTCTTATCCATGTTAGTAAATGGTTCACTAACCATAAGAGTGTATTCTTCCTCTGATAATTAGCTCCTTCATGCGATAATAGACTATAGACTGGAGGTGAGTCTTTCCGAGATAGAAAGAGAAGAACCCGAAATATATCTGAAGGCAATACAAAACATAACAGAGCTCCACATATTAACTCTAACAGACTATACATAGTAGTGGGAGAAAAATAGAATAAAAAAGGAATTTGATATAAATCAGACATGTGAATGTGGCGATTTAAAGAGTCCACCTCTGTTTATGCTATCCTCTCCCCCCCACCCTAGCAACACTTGATGAGTAAAATACCAAAGTCAAGATCAGGAACCTAAAACTGTGTTCACTTCAAAAGTAATGGACACAGGATGGCATCTAGTGGTCTTCAGAAAAACATTCCAGCTTAAAATGCATATATGCATCGCCTGTCCTCTGAATGCAATCTCTAGTGATGCGTGGATAGGATGCCCGGCCCGAAAGGGTTAAAGCATGCATTAATTGATGAAGCAAAAAAAATCCTGAAACTGTTGATACTTCTAATTCTTTATTTAAAGCTTTTCAAGATAGGTATGAAAATAAAAGAATTTTAGTCGAGACACATATAAAGTCACATAGGATGGGTTTACGGAATTTAACTTTTGAATTGTCGAAGGGGATAAGAAATGTAATAGATAATGTTACTGAAAATGTAACAACTTTGAATGCTTTAGAATCAGAAAAATAAATTAGCAGACATTCTGTTATTAAATATTATTCTTCAGATGCCAGATTATGAAATGCATAAAAATGCGAAATAAGCATTAAGGCTACAGAGGTTAATATGTTTAATGAATTAATTTCGTTTTTAGAGAAAAGATGTCAGAAATACTAGTTAGAAAAAAGTTAAAAATCAAAGGCTCTGATGGCTAAAACTGACAGTGCTCCGACTTGTACAGTATGTAAAAGTAATAATTTTAAGAATGAGTCACATTAATGTGAAATGTGACTCATTCTTAAAATTAAATCCAAATCAAAGATATGAAATAGTTAAAAACAAAAAATTGAGTTTAAACTGTCTTAGTAAGGAACATTTAATTGCAAAATGTAATTCTAAGTTCATATGTTCCAAATGCCATAAAAACATCATTAATTAATTCATCACTTACTCAACAATGACACCATCGATCAAAGTTAGATAAAACAGAAACAGAAACATCGAGCAATGAGATTATTAACAAAAACCCAGATGGTTCTCATAAAAATCAGTCAAGTTGTCTTTTGACAAAAAATGTGTTATTAACAACTGCAGTAGTATACATCTGTAATTCAGAAGGGTAAAGAATAAACTCCAGTTAACACCATTCTTGATAATGGCAGCATACCCTGTTTCTTAACAGACTGAGTTGCAAATTTGTTAAATATAAGGAAAGAATTTATGCATCAGGTATGCAGAGTAAATGAGAACGTTATAAATATTAATTATCAACTATATGTACATATTTCGAATAAGGATTTAACATATGCAAGATCAATTAACTGTTTTGTTATTTCTAAAATCATCAATGTAACACCGTCAAAGAGTTTAGATGTGATGTCATTAAATATTCCCAATGGCATTAAATTACTTGATCCCAGTCTGGAACTCCTAATAAAATAGGCATGTTACTAAGGGCCAAATTGCTCTTTGAGATTTTAAAATTAGGAAAATTTCAATCTGAACATAAACTGTTGATATTACGAGAAACAGTTTTTGGATATATCGCATATGTTTATACAAGAGTAACTCAAAAGTAAATTATCGTGGTTTAGTTCGGAACAGTGAAGAACAGGTGAACAACATTTTGAAAATATATTGGGAAGTTAAAGATTTTTTTTAAGTGGAGAAGAAAAATACTGTGAAGAACAATCAAGCACACTCACTAATTACAAAATGATGGAAGATATGTAGTTTAGTTACCCATTATGGAAGGTATGGAAATAGGCAAATTTAAAAAACTTGCTCAGAAAAGGTTACATG